TGAGCCCTGGCAGGTTGGGCCCTTCGCCTCCTCACTGCGGCACCTCCAGGCAATCTGAGGTGAGCCGCCGATGACGACACGGAGGCGGGGCCCGCGGCATACAGCTTTCAATCACCTTGGTTGGAGAGCTCTTCGCCGCGGGCTCAATGATAGAAGCGACGCGGGGTGCAGGCTAAAGGCTACCGGCTCTGTTTTTGTTCGGGGCCCCAGCTTCCAGCGTGCCGGGTCAGGCCCAAGGAGGCAACTTGCTGGGCAGAGGTTCGAGCCCTCTGTTCAGGAGGAAAAGAAACACACAGACACAATGAATCCTCGATTCCCCAGAAAATATAGGAAAATATGGGAAGTGGGGGGGGGGAAGACAAAAGCCCAGAAAAGATGTGAAAATACAAGGCATATTGTTATTTGTGTGCATTTATTTGTGTGTCCTGGGGCCCCTTCATCTGTTACCCCGCTCAGGGTAGTGTGATGCACAGTTGTCGGCGTGCCGTGGCCGCCCTGTCTCTGGGGGCCTCTGTGCCCGCCAGGCAGGCAGGCGCCGAGGTTCTACGCTGCCCTCTCTTGCGAGTGGGCGGTCCCCTCGCCATCGCTCGGACGTCCATTCCCTGTGTTCTTTTCGGTTTCGTGCGTGGTTTTTTCGGCAAGTGGTCAAGGATGCTCCTCGATGGTCCCCGCCGAGGAAAAAAACGCACACGTCCGAGCGATGCCAGGTCCCTCCTTGTGCCTGTTGCCCCCATGGTTCGCGAACCCTCTGGCGCTGTGCGTCGTGGCGCCGTGCGCCGCACGCCGTGTGCGTGGCGCTGTGCGCCGCGGTGCTTGCTGGCACCCAGTTTTAGTGCTGTGCACTTTCACCTTCGGGTCCGTTCATTCATTCCTCCTTCTCCTCCTCCTTCTCCTCCTTCTCCTCCTTCTCCTCCTCCTTTCTCTTTTTCTCCTCCTCCTCCTCCTCCCACTCTTAAACCTCCCTCCCTCCCTCACTCGCCCTAAACTCCGAGGGAAGTACGCTTCCCCCACAGGGGGAGTGCACCTCTCAAGTGAAGGGTACCTCCCCCAGGGCAAACGCGCTCCCCCTCGCGAGGGAAGCGCACCGCAGCTCCATGGCCAGGCACGCCCCTGAAGCGCTCCGAAGGAAAAGGACCAAAGCACACGACAGGCTCAGGACGCCCAGGGGGGCAAGATCTAGGGAGCCCTTCCCCCAGCGCCGCCACACCCAGGGGGGTGTGAGCTCAAGGGAAGCCCTGCTCCCCCCGCCCCTGCCACCTCACTGTCCCTTCGCAGCACCTGAGGCCCCCCCCCCCCGCGCTACACCCATTGAGCAGGGACCGACCGTCCCGGCATTCCTATAGTCCTACCACGAAATGTCCTTAGAACCCCAACATGTTCTAAGAACAAAAACAATGTTCTTAGAACATCAACCCGATGTGTTAAAACAAGACAGTCCCAGCCAGAAACGTTCTAAAAACATTTCGTGGGAACCACAACAGGTCCTTAGAACATTGTTTGGCAGGGCTATAGGCGCGCCAAGGCGCTTCGCCACTGCTTGACCCCAGTCGCCCGTGGGCCCGCCCTTCTCCCCACGGCAACCGCCTGTGCCGCTTCGCAGGGCTCTCTGGCGGCCCACCGCCCTCGGGGCCCGGGCACGGCCCGAGGAGGCCGACGGCGGTGGCAGAACCACGGACCGACAGCGGTGAGACCAGACTGGTGTTGAGTCGGGCGTGTCCCCCTACCGAGGGGTTTTCGACGAAAAATTAAAAGTATCCCTGCAAAGCAACCTAACAGCGATGTGTATAAGCATATCTGGAAGCATTCCCCATAAGATTCAGGTGAGCATCCAGTTGTTGAATTCTGCTGTTCTCGCAGTCGCAGTCGCATTCGCAATGACAGTCGCAGTGGCAACGGCTTTAGGATCCAATGGAATCCTAAGGATTCCTATGGATTCCTAGGGATTCCTAAGGATTCCTACGGATTCCAAAGGATTCGCCTGCCTCAGCATCAGCCTCAGCCTGCCTCAGCATCAGCCTCAGCCTCAGCCTCAGCCTGCCTCGGCCTCAGCCTCAGCCTGCCTCAGCCTCAGCCTCAGCCTGCCTCGGCCTCAGCCTCAGCCTGCCTCAGCCTCAGCCTCAGCCTCAGCCTCAGCCTCAGCCTCAGCCTCAGCCTCAGCCTCAGCCTTCCTCAGCCTCAGCCTCAGCCTGCCTCAGCCGAAGCTTGCCAAAGCCTCAGCCTCAGCCTCAGCCTCAGCCTCAGCCTGCCTCAGCTTCAGCCTCAGCCTCAGCCTCAGCCTCAGCCTGCCTCGGCTTGCCTCAGCCTCAGCCTCAGCTTGCCTCGGCCTCAGCCTCAGCCTCAGCCTGCCTCAGCCTCAGCCTCCGCCTCTCAGCCTCAGCCTGCATCAGCCTCAGCCTCAGCCTCAGCCTGCCTCAGCCTCAGCCTCAGCCTCAGCCTCAGCCTGCCTCACCCGCAGCTTGCCTCAGCCTCAGCCTCAGCCTGCCTCAGCCTCAGCCTCAGCCTCAGCCTCAGCCTCAGCCTCAGCCTGCCTCAGCCTCAGCCTCAGCCTGCCTCAGCCTCAGCCTCAGCCTGCCTCAGCCTGCCTCAGCCTCAGCCTCAGCCTGCCTCAGCCTCAGCCTGCATCAGCCTCAGCCTCAGCCTCAGCCTGCCTCAGCCTCAGCCTGCCTCAGCCTCAGCCTCAGCCTGCCTCAGCCTCAGCCTGCCTCAGCCTCAGCCTCAGCCTCAGCCTCAGCCCTCAGCCTCAGCCTCAGCCTGCCTCAGCCTCAGCCTGCCAGCCTCAGCCTCAGCCTCAGCCTGCCTCAGCCGCAGCCTTGCCTCAGCCTCAGCCTCAGCCACAGCCTCAGCCTCAGCAGCCTCAGCCTCAGGCCTCAGCCAGCCTCAGCCTGCCTCGGCCTCAGCCTCAGCCTCAGCCTGCCTCAGCCTGCCTCAGCAGCCTCAGCCTGCAGCCTCAGCCTCGGCCTCAGCCTCAGCCTCAGCCTGCCTCAGCCTCAGTCTCAGCCTGCCTGCCTCAGCCTCAGCCTCAGCCTCAGCCTCAGCCTCAGCCTCAGCCTCAGCCTGCCTCAGCCTCAGCCTGCCTCAGCCTCAGCCTCAGCCTGCCTCAGCCTCAGCCTGCCTCAGCCTCAGCCTCAGCCTGCCTCGCCTCAGCGCCTGCCTCAGCCTCAGCCTCAGCCTGCCTCGGCCTCAGCCTGCCTCGGCCTCAGCCTGCCTCAGCTCGGGCATTCAAAATATGGCACACGACTGATGTTCTGGGAACACGAAAATCACGAAGTAGCCCACAGTTGGCTCCGGACAATCCAAAAATATACTACAAGAATAATGTTTCGGGAGCACGAAAAACATTAATTGGCCTACAGTTGGCTCCGGGCATTCAAAATGTGGCCTGGGAATGGTGTTCTGGGAGCACGAAGAACACGAAGTGGCCTACGGTTGGCTCCGGGCATTCAAAATGTGGCCTGGGAATGGTGTTCTGGGAACACGAAGAACACGAAGTGGCCTACAGCTGGCTCTGGGCATTCAAAATGTGGCCTGGGAATGGTGTTCTGGGAACACGAAGAACACGAAGTGGCCTACAGCTGGCTCCGGGCATTCAAAATGTGGCCTGGGAATGGTGTTCTGGGAATGGATTCCTAAGGATTCCTGCGAATTCATGGGGCTGCCGGATCCTGTCGGTTTTGTCCGGTTCCCGCCCAGACCCCCCTGGGGCGTCAAGATGCTCTCTTTTGACACCACTAGAAACCTATCAGCAAGAGCTGTTAGGTAAATACACCCCAACAAATAATCCCAAATGGTCCAGAGATGCTCCAAAAAATTGTCCCCAGACTATTTTTTAACTATTCTTGAATATTCCCCCTGTAGAGGGACATGCCCGACTGAAAACTGGTGGCACTTCTCGTCTGCTTCGCGAGCGCCCCGCTTCCCGTGGGCTGGGCGCCGCGCCCCGGGTGCAGGTCGGCACCTCTCGAAGATCGGGGCCCTGAGGCACTTAGCCCCAGGGCTATGTCGGGCGTGTCCCCCTACAGGGGGATCTTCGACGAAGAGTTAAAAATCCTCAAGAAATGCTCGAAAAGGGTCAACCAATAATCAAAAAAAAATCCCCAGACTATTTTTGGATTATTTTTTAAATGTTTTTGGGGTATTTTGCTTTTCGTGGAAAATCCCCCTGTAGGGGGACAGGCCCGACTTAACCCCAGGGCGAGGAGGCCCGGGTTGATGAACAATTCGGCCGGGACGCGCTGTCCCACCCGCAGGCCCCCATCCTCGGGACCCCATCTTCCAAGCCCCGAGCGGAATCGGGCCCGACGAGGGGTCGCGGGCGGGGCCTGCTTCTTCCTCCCGGGCTGTTTTCGACGGTCCGGCGGCCCGAGGAGGGCCCCCGGAAGCCGGGAGCTGTCAACAGCCTCCTGTGCCCCTCGCTCTCCCTTCCTCCTCGCCCTCGCTCTCCCTCCCTCGCTCTCGCCCTGTGCCCCTCGCCCTCCCTCCCTGTGCCCCTCGCCACTCGCTCTCGCCCTGTGCCCTCTCCCTCCCTGTGCCCCTCGCTCTCCCTCCCTCCTCGCCCTCGCGTTCCCTCGCCCTCGGGGGGTGCACGGCGGGCTCGTCTCGTGCCGACCCTGGCGTGGATCGCTCCACCTGGAGCGATCCGAGGCCTCTCGATCGCCAGATCGTTCCGTGTTGGCCCGCTGTGGGCCATCAGCGGCGTTCCACCTTGAACACCCGCGGCGGGGTGGCCGCCGAATCGAGACGGCACGATTGAGCAGGGACCGACCGTCCCGGCATTCCTATAATCCTACCACGCAATGTTCTTAGAACCCAAGAATGCTCTAATAACCAAAACAATGTTCTCAGAACATAGGCCCGATGTGATGAAACAGCACAGTCTCGAGCACACATGTTCTAAGAACATCCCGCGGAAACCACAAAAGGTTCTCCGAACATTGCTTGGCAGGGCTACAGGCGAGCCAGGACGCTTCGCCACTGCTTGAACAGAGCGGCGCGGGCGGGCGCCGGCAGGTCGAAGAGCACGCACTCTGGCAGGATCCCGGCCACCTGGTTACGCCTGGCTGCCGCCCCGCGCCTCTCCCCCCTCCTTGCAGAGGGCAAGAGATCCCTCCCCCAGCAGAACCACCCCGACGAGCGAAGCCGCTTCGTAAACGCACCCAAGGAAGGGACCGAACAGGGTAGGGCCTTCGTGGGCCCTGGAAACGACAGGGCCGTTTTCTTACCGGTTCCGTTTTGCCGTTTGTGTTGCCGGTTCCGACGCCGTTTTGTACTGGTTCCGTCGCCGTTCTTTTACGGGTTCCCGCTCCGGTTCCACTCCTCGAGCCGTTTTTGTTGCCGTTTCCGGTCGCCGTTTTTTTGCCACTTCCATTTTCAAGGAACACTCTTTTCGGAAACGGTGAAAAAACGGCCCTGCCGTTTCCGGGGCCCACTCAGGGTAGGGCTGTCTGGTGCACGCCCAGGGCCTATCAGTCAACGCCAGCCGTCGGGCCCGGGTGGCTGTTCCTCCCCCCTGGACTCGTCCCTGCTGCGCGGCCGAGCCCTGGAGACACACCAGGCCCGAAAAGTGCCAGCGACCCCTCCCCGCCGAGGGGCGACAACTTAGTAGGGGGGGGCGGCTCAGGGGGGGTGACAGCGAGCTGGCATCGGCGATGCATCGCCGAGTGCTCGGCGACAGGCCGTCGAGAGCGAATCCGCACGCTTCTGGGCGGGGTGGGCTGCCCGGCACCCCCATCCATCGGCGATGGATGGGCGATTGCAAGGACTCCCAGCTTCGCGCTTCGCGCGGCGCAAAGCGCGAAGTGCGAATAACGTCGCGCTCTCGCGCCGCCTCCCACGGGAGAAGAGGGGGAAGAGGAGGAATCGGAGCCGAACCGCGAAGCGCGAACCGCGAATGACTTCGCGCCCTCGAGGGCGCCCTGGGATTGGCGGTCGATACATCCCCTCCTGAGCCTATCCCCCCCCCACAGTGCTGTCCCCGATCCGCATCCCCCCTCCGTCTGCCGCCTCCGGCGGCGGCCGCAGCGAGGATCGAGGCATCAAGAGGTCGAGGGATGCGGGCTCTCAGGTCGCCCCAGCTTCGCGGCTCGCGCCCCGCGGTGCGCGGCGCGCGGCTATCTCCGTACCATCGCACCCTCGCGCTAACTCCCTGGAGAAGGGCGCCTCCCAAACGTTTTTGGGATATATATATATACACACATATATACACACACGGCCTGCAACACGTGTGAATCGCACCAGTCAACAGCACACAGGACGCATTTGTGTGCTGCACACAGCGGCGGCCTGTCATCCAGACAGCACGGCGGCCGAGTGCGGGCGGAGACACTATAGACCAAACAGCTTCTCGTCGTATAATTCTAATCGTGCTCATTTCTAATTGTGCTCGTTTCTAATTGTCCCTGGCACCCTAGTGGCCAGGAAAGAGGCCCAGGATAGGATAATTAGAAATGAAAGGATCTTGGCCCCCAGGAAATCAAAGAGCTCTCGAAGAATTAGAAGTGAACAGTGTGTACACTTGAAAATGTTGCCCCGGTGCCCCGGCAGGGAAAAGAGCACCCGAGCTGCGATGGGCGCGGCTGCCTTCCCGCCCCCTTGGGGGCCCCGGGGGCCCCAAGCCATCGGGAATCGATCCTCGAGCCGTCGATCCCTGCCCCTGCAGCTCGAGGATCGATCCTCGAGCCGCCGCTTTGCCGCCCCTGCCCCAGGCGGAACGCCTCGCTCGGGGACGCCACGTCCCCCGACGCCCCCCTCCTTGCCCTGCACTCCCCTACCGTCGGGGCGTTGACCTCAGGAGCCCTAAAATGAGGAGCGCGGCCCCTTTTTTCCCATACGTTAAACTTCGACCTCCCATGGCAAACCTCAGGAGCACCCGAGGCAAACTATAAGAGACATTCAAGGAACACCGAGCCCCTCCCCAACGAAAAGGGCTCCTTCTTCAGCGCCCCGACCGTACCCCGCAGGGCTGCTGGCGGGCTTCTGGGCCGACGCGGTGCGTCCGACGATTTCATCTTGACCCCATGGGAGGCCCTGCGGTTGCCCGTCTCGTCCCCGGCCCGATCCTGACCTCTCCCTCACTCATTACCCCCACCCCATCCACCCATCTCCGTTCCCTGCCCCACCCTGCCCTCCATCGCCCTCGCCCATCTCAACCAGCATCCCCCGTCCTCCCTCCCTCCTCTTCCCATTCCTCCCCCCATCCTGCTTGCACGTGATTTCCGCGCTCCTGGTAAAATCCCACCACCCAAAGAGGCGAGATCGCGCTGTGCGCCCAGAGCATGTGACGACCTGTCTGGCTCGCGACCGCCACGTACATGTAGAAAACGTGATGGATAGTGGCATCGTGCGGCCTCTGTCCGCAGGACGGATGTACTTACACATCCGCAGCCAGGACAAAGCAACATACAAGTCCGCTGTGACGCCCGAAGTAGACTGACACGCGCTAGGGCGACTGAGGCGGCAACCGAAGCATCAGAGGTGGCCGAAGCGCTCGCGCGACCGCTCCCCAAGGCTCGGGGTCAATGGGCATCTTTCTACACCGGGCCTCGGCGCAATTCAAACATATAGTATGCACCCACGATGAGAAACCTCGCCGTAAGACATCCAGGGGCAAAACGTTCCTCGACCTTGAGCTTCGCAAGGCGCCGCACGGGTCTGTGGGACCAGCGGTGGATCAAACATTTCCGTGGCAACAGTGGGCAGGCCAGTTTCCTACTTAGTATGCCTGCTGTATACCGGGGCGTATCGCCTGTTCACGTTCAGAAGCTTGCGAGGTGCGCTCCGCACGGCGGCATCCCTGCGTTTGGCCATCAAGTTTCCTTGTTGCGTAAAGAGATCAGTTCCCGTGTGTGTATTTCTAGTGTATTAATTTGGAGGCCTGGAAATGGGCACCAACACCAAGACAGGGGACTGCCTCCACAGGAGGAAGGTGATCCTAGATTTCGGTGTTGGTGGTAATGTTTCGGCCACCTTGGAAGCCAGAATATTACCACCATCACCGAGATAGGGATCTTCTTCCCTCGGTGGATGCACACCGCCGATATTGGTGTTGGTGTCAATCTCTAGGCCTGCGATTAATTCCTAAATGTCTTCTCTTTGCCGCACATGCCACACAGTCGGTTTACGTCCACCTGTGCACCTCTTCGGAAGGCAGGCCGCACGCCACCGTCCCTCCCCCCCGCACCTGCCGCACCGCACCCCCCCACCAACCACGCACGGAAGCCAAATCGTCACCCATTCCAATGAACCAATCCGTGCGCGCTCCCGCTTCTCCTCCTCCTCCTCCTCCTCCTCCTCCTCCTCCTCCTCCTCCTCCTCCTCCTCCTCCTCCTCCCTCTCATTCTCCCCATCGCCCCCATTGGATTACCGATCCCTCCTCATCCTTCTCCTTGATCCCCCTCCTCCTTCTCCTCCTCCTTGCCCCTCTAGGCGCCTGGCGCTATGCAAAGACGTGCCGGATGTGCCCAGCATTTACGGTACGAGAACAGGTCCCTGAGGCTGTGTACTCCCCTTCATGCCGAGCACATGCCAGGCACATGCTGTCACACGATTTGCGAAGCTCCAGGAACGCAGGGAGAAAGAGGAGGAGGAGGAGGAAAAGGATGGGGAGGATGAGGAGTGGGAGGATAAAAAGAGGGAAGAGGAGAAGTAGGAGGGAAGAAGAGGGAAGACGAGCGAGAGGCAGAAGGGAGGGAGGGAGGAGGACGAGGAGGAGGGGGAGGAGGGGGAAAAGGGAGAAGGATAGATGCGGGGGAGGGGGGCCAGGAGAAGTGAGGGAGGGAAGGAGGGCGAGGGGGGGAAAAAGAAAATGAGGAGAGGGCTGAGGAGAAGGGAACAGGAGGGATAATGAGGAGTGAGGAGGAGCCAGGAGCGAGGTGTGAGGAGGAGGAGGAGGAGGATGAGGAGCACAATGTGGAGGACTATGAGGAGGAGGAGAAGGAGGAGGAGGAGGAGGAGGAGCAGCAGGAAACCGACAACGAAGGATGAGGCGGAGAAGGAGAAAGAAGGAGGAGGAGGAAGAGGAGGTGGAGAAGGGAGGGGAGAAGAAGGGATTGGGAGGAGGAAGTGATGATGAACATAAGATCAGTGTCTCCGTACATGCCCACACGATCATCAAACAATGAGCGAGATCCGAAAGCGAACCCTGGTGAAACACTCAATGAGCATGCCCCCGCGCAGGCCGCGCACATGCCCACACATACGTACACGTCGATCGATGATTGCGCGCTCGTTGAAAAAATGGCCGCACATGCCGGGCACACGGCAGGCACATGCCGAGCCGTCACAATGCCTGCACATACACACACACACACCAGAAACAGGGCACTAGAAATGATGCCCGTGCATGATGGTGACGATCGTTTCGCACGGCAAACAATTCATTGGCCGCGATGGGCCTTGTTTCTGCATTCGCGTCTGCGATCTGCGGGCGTCCCCTTCCTCATTCCTCATGTGCTCGCCCTGACACCTGTGCAACGAGACCCCTGGGACACTAGGAGCATCATTCCGCACAATTTCTTTCTGAACCCGAAGGGGTCCGAGAGGAAATCTACCGATTGGCAAGAGTACCAGGCCGATTTCGGCAGGCGTGCAAGATCCTGGCTTCCCGTGTCTGGGTTCCAGCGAAACCGCTGGGATGATTTGGGTGGGCGGCTGGGTTCCCAGGTCCTTGGACAATCGAATTCCATGGTTCCCGGTTCCGGGCCGCGGGTACCCCTCATTGTACACTTCCTCGGTCAGCAAATTCTGGAATGCCTGGGTCCTTTCGACCACAGTCAAAGTGAGAAGGTATGCTGCAGAGTGCATATCAGAAGGTAGAGAAGAGAATTGAGATATTGAAGAGTCGGTGTTAGAGTATAGAGAGCAGGGCGTGATGAGAAGCTAAAAAGAGCAGTAGCATAAAGAGAGAGAGAGAGAGAGAGAGAAAAAAAAAAAAAGAGAGTGAACAAACAACACATTGTAGACATAGAGGTAGAGAGAGAGAGAGAGAACTTGCGACCACGCTCAGAACGAGATATAGAGGATAGACTATAGCGTACACATAAGAGATTCATGAGTAGA